TCCTCTTTCCTGAGCTCTTTTATGACTTCAGCTGCAAAGTGACTCGTTGCATCTCAAGCTGCCTGCGATGATAGTAGAACATCCATTAGGTTTTCAGGCAGTACTTCCATTTTCAGTGTAGACACCCAGATATGCCTGGTCTCGCTGAAACGCGGGCATGCGAAGAACACATGCTTCGCATCTTCATCCACTTCTGGGCAGGTCGGACATTTCGAGGAATCTTCATGCTTGAATTGATGAAGATACGCTCTAAAGCATCCGTGTCCAGAAGGCATCTACGTCAGATAGTAGTTCACCTCTCCGTGGCCGCGATTCAGCCAGACATCCACCTTAGGGATCAGGCGGTAAGTCCATCTCCCCTTGGTGGAGTTGTCCCACTTCAGCTGCCATCGCCTCAGGCTGTTTCGCCTCTCTTCAGACGTCAACTCCTCGGGATTCAACGCTTCGGATCTTCTACACGTATACAGAGCTTTCCGCTCCTCAGCCAGAATTTCTATCAGCAACAGTCCCACGATGACACACGCTGTGTCCTCAGAAACCATCCAGTATGCACTTGCGACTCTAAGGGCACTGAGTCGATAGACTGGTGCAATCTTACGTCGCGCTTTCTGCAGTTGAAGTACATCCCCCCAAATGGGAATAGCATATGTGAGCACCGAAGTCATCACTGAAGACAACAGTGCTCTTCTTCTTTGCTTGGGTCCCCCGATGTTGGGGATGAGACGTGATAAGGTGGATCTAACGCTCGACGGCTTGGCACCCACTTGCTCCGCTTGTTGCTTGAAATTGAGTCGTGCATCTATTATCACCCCCAGGTATCGAATGAATGGCTGTGAGGTAATTTCACAAGACCCGACTCGCAGCGTGATGGTCTCGATTTTTTTCCTGTTAGTGATCAATACGGCTTCTGTCTTGTGCTCCGCAAGGTTTAGGCCTACTGAGTCCATCCAGTTCCGGATAGTCTCAAAAGTTGTATTGAACACGTGGTTTATCTGCTCCAAGTATTTTCCAACGATGACTACTGACACATCATCTGCAAATGCAATGAGCTTAGTCCCTCGTGGCAGTTTCAGCTTCAGCAGCCCATCGTACATAATGTTCCATGGTAGAGGACCCAGCACTGAGCCTTGAGGTACTCCCCCTATAACTTCATACTGCTTGGGGCTACACTCCGTGTCATACTTGAGGACCCTTCCGGTGAAATAGCTGTCAACTATTCTCTGCAAGTATCCAGGTACGTTCAGGTCTACAAGAACCTTCATAATGTAGTCCGGCATCGCATGTATAGCCGACTTCAGAGCGATATTTGGGATTCCATCTAGGCCAGGAGTTTTGGTGTTACCCACTGTGTTGCAGGCTTCCATCAGTTCTTCCTTGGTGATTCGTGGAGCCATCATCCCATCTTGCTCGCCAGTATGGTGTAGTTCTGGTTGTTGTGGGAACAGCACTGCGACGATTTTCTCCAACAGTTCAGGGCACGTTGGTGACGGCATTGGTTGGCTTTTTAGGCGCATCATCACTACCTTGTATGATCTGCCCCACGGGTCATCTTCCACCTCAGCAAGTAGCTCACTCCAAGATTGCTTCTTACTGCCCTTGATTGCTCTGCTGAGTTTACGGCGTGCCTTTTTATGCCTCAACCGCAGTTCTTCAGAGTTCGGCTTCTTCCGGCCACGTTGTTCCAATCTTCTGGCTCTATTACACTCCTTCCGTAGGATGGCGATACTGTCATTCCACCAATATACCGGTGGATGCTGGTTTGTGCTCCGCTTCCTGGTCATGGTGGCATCGCATGCTTCTGTCACTCTCTTCATGATGTTGTGTGCTTTTTCAGTAGCATTGTTTCCGCTAATCGGGCGATTATCCAATGCTGCTGAAAAAGTGCTCGAATTGAAGGTGCTCACTCTCCAGCCAATGCAGTTGGTCTTTTTAGGCCTTAAGGCGGCTCTCTGGCGAGTACATGTCTCCCAGATTATCGCACGGTGATCGCTGGCAGTGTAGATATCAGCTACTCTCCATGAGTAGTTCCTTTTTGCAAGGTTGCTACTCACGAAGGTAAGGTCCACAATTGAGCACTTCTCTCCCCTCACGAAAGTCGGTTCATCGCCACTATTCAGCAGGACCACGTCCAATTATGACATGGCTTCCAGTAAAGATTGTCCTCTGGCGTTTGTCCTCTTACTTCCCCAATCAACTGCCCAGGCGTTGAAGTCCCCGGCTATTGCCACGGAAAAGTGCTGCTTCGCATCCTCGGTCAGTCGATCTAGGAAGTCCGTGAACTCATCAAAGGAAAGACTTGGCGGGGCGTAGCAGCTGTAGAACTGAATTCCATCAACCTTGGCCTTTATGAAGCCCTCTTGTGCGTTACCTGTGCTGCTCTGGAAAGAACGATCCCCACAAGCCCAGATTACAGCCTTCCCACTGACGTCAGTAATCCAGGATTGAGTGCCAAGATGTCGATATGGCTCCGAGATCATGACAAGGTCAAGTCTCAGCTCCCGCACCGCTTGCGTGAGCAGATCGTGTGCGTCCTCATAATGATTGAAGTTGAGCTGTAACACCTTGCACCTTCCCCTCCTATGATCGCCTTTTGCTGGTAAGCTTCTGAAGTGCCTCTTTGTAGGCTGGGCATCTACTGCTACCAGCGACATGTGCACAATTCTTCGTGTTGCCATTTTCAGTTCAAAGGGCGCACAGAGGATCCTTCTGGCACTCCTTGGCTTGGTGGCCACTCTCTGAACATCTCACACAGACCTCAGATCGGTTAATTGTGCTTGGACACTTAGTGGCGAGGTGTCAGTAGTGCCAGCACTTGAAGCACTTGAACGGTTTCTGCACTGTTCGAATACGGCAGTTCACCCAGCTGATTTTGATCTTCCCGTGATCATCCTCCCCCAGGATTTTCTTCACGGCAGCTGCAGTGAGTGTCACCGAGGCAGTTTGGGTTCCTCCATATTCCATACGTGAGGATCTGACGACTTCAGAACCTATCTTATGCTCCTCACCCACCAATTTACGTAGGGCTTCAAGAACGTCCTCCTTTTCCGTCTCCAGGTCGAGGTACTTGATCTCGAGATCTTCGAACGACTCCTTACTCAGTACTTCGGCCTCCTCCCCCAGGAGATCCACAATGGCTGATCGTAGCTGGGAGCCCTCAACGGTCGTCTTCTTGTTCAGGATAATCAGCATGTCTCCTGTTGCTGTACGTCTGATCTTCTCGACGCATTCCCTGGCTTCCTCGCAGGCCCTGTCTTTTTCAACCCGCCTAAGGATTTCTGAGTACTTCTCCTTTTCCTTTGGGCGAATGATCAGCGCTTTCGGCCTGGCCGCCAACTTCTTCTGTGTCTGCTTCGGGTTTCAATTTCCCCGTAGCGACTTTGAAGCCGGGTCACCTTTCTTCCTTCGTCGCTTCTACTTCTGCCGGCCTTGGTCTTCTTTGGCCTCATCCTTGTTGTGCCTATCTTGCTTGGTGTTGCCCTTGGATGGTTTGTCCTTGGTGAGCTCCTGCAAGAAAGATTTATTCCTCTTCGTCTCCCTCCCCTGAAACTGTGTCGTGACCCGCTTGGGTGGGCTTGTCTTCTCTTGCTTGGATCTCTTGAGAGAGTCGGAATACGTGCCAGGCGATTCCCGATTTCTCTTCTTTTTATCTCCAGTGTCTTGACGATCCTGGTCTTGGAGCGTCTTTTGAGATCCTGCATTCTCTACCATCTGTTTTGGTAGGGCTCCACGCATTGATCTCAGACGCTTAGCAGAAGCCTGGATGCTTCTTGCGAGCTGGCGAATACCTTCATTGATGGTTCGCCTAGACTTGTCTGTTAGCTGCTGCAACAGGTCTTCAATAAGCATTTCATGGCGATCCCATGCCTGCTTGTGCGCTATTCGTCCATTCGACGCGCTAGGCTCCGTCACATGTTGAGTCTGAGACTCTGCTCCACTTGTAGCATCAGAGGCCAAGTGGTCCGCCTTTGAAAAGTGTGATGGTTGGCTCTTCCCAGAATCCAAGGAGCCGGCATTGGCCACCGGGGCTTGCACCCGATCGGAACCAAAGGTAGGATTTACCTCTCGAAGAGGGGTTACTACCTGGGATATTTTCGTGTTATCATCACTACTGATCATTTTAAGTTTGGCTGTTAAACAGAGCCACTGCAAACTTTGTAAGGCTGTTATAGGGAGTCCACCCTGCGCACTACTTTTAGAGTTGGATTTCTCGGAAGGTATTGGTCCGCGCCGACGTATTTTATTTAGTCGATCCCCTGTGTGTCAAACCAAAGTTGGAAACAGGGAGGGCTTTCTGCCATCTGCCACCTGCATACGCGCTACGTTGCAGCACCTTCCAAACTGCGAAAACTCTCAGGTAGTAGAGGCGTTTCTACGCTGAAAGGATCCGTAGTGTGTGTGTGTGTGTGTGTTTTTTTTTCTTTCGTCTGTTGGGAGAATGCATTTACGGACGACCACTTGAGGGAGGGAATAGGTGTTTCCCTCCGTCAAGTGAGTGTGGGACTCCAACAGTGACTGCCAATACCCACTAAACTCCAATCAGACAAATTTCCACTAACCTTCCTTTCCCTCACGGCACCACCGTTAGGTATTACTTCGTGAGGGAGGTCTCAGCTGTTCGCTCTTCCGGCTTCATCTTATGTACGTCTCCCTAACCTGCAAAGATGTGTGTGATTAGGACTCCTTCATGACTTCTGCCGCGAAGTTGCTCGTTGCGTCCCAGGCTGCCTGTGATGACAGCATTGCTTCCACTAGATCCTCGGGTGAAACTCCCTTTCCGAGCTCCGACTCCCAAGTATTTCGCATGTCACTGAATTGGGGGTAGCTGAAAAACACATGCTCTGCGTTCTCGTTCACTCCTGTGCATGTGGAACACTCTGAAGAATCTTCATGTTTGAATTTATGTAGATACTCTCTAAAGCACCCGTGCCCTGAAAGCATTTGGCACAGGTAGTAGTTGACTTCGCCATGAGTTCGACTTACCCACGCGGCTACATGTGGAATTAGACGATAGATGATCTTCCCTTGGTCGAATTTTTCCACTTCTCCTGCCATCGGTTTAAGCTGTTTCGCCTCTCCTCAGACGTCAGTTCTTCGGTGCTTATCATTTCCGATGCGAGCGCTCGTTTCCGCTTATACAGCGATCCTCGCTCCTCAGCCAAAACCTGAATGGGCAACAATCCTGCGATGACACACACCGCGTCTTCAGAAACTGTCCGAAAAGCACTTGCAACTCTAAGGGCACTAAGTCGATAGATTGGTGCGATTTTGCGTCGTGCTTCTTGTAGTCGTAGAACGTCTCCCCAAATGGGAATAGCAGATGTGAGCACTGAAGTAGTCACTGAGGACAACAGTGCTCGTCTTCTTTGCTTAGGTCCCCCGATGTTAGGCATGAGGCGTGATAAGGTGGATCTGACGCCCGATGCCTTGGTCTTCACGTGCTCCGCTTGCTGCTTGAAGTTAAGTCGTGTATCAATCATTACCCCCAGGTATCGAATGAATGGCTGGTACGTGATTTCACAAGACCCAACTCGCAGCGTGATCGTCTCGATCTTCTTCCTGCTGGTGATCAATACGGCTTCTGTCTTCTGTTCCGCTAAGTTCAGTCCAACAGAATCCATCCAGCCGCGGATCGTCTCGAACGTTGTGCTGAAAACGCGCTTCATGTCCTCCAGGTGCTTCCTAACAATGACCACTGCCACGTCATCCGCAAATACCACCAACTTGGTCCGCCAGGGCATATTCAACTTTAGCAGCCTATCGTACATGGTGTTCTACAAGAGAGGACCCAGTACTGACACTTGGGGTACTCCTTTTGTCACCTTGTACTTCCTGGGGCCGGACTCTATGTCGTACTTAAGGACCCTTCCGCTGAAATAGCTGTTGACCATTCTCTGCAGGTATCCTGGTACTTCCAATTTGTCAAAAGCCTCTATTATGTAGTCCCACCTGGCTGAGTTGAAGGCATTCTTGATATCCAGTGTCACTACTAAACAGTACTCCTTGGTGCCATTGAGCCATCGTTCCCCTGCAATCGCTTCCCTCGCCGTTTCGACGACCAGGTTGATGGCATCGAGTGTGGATCGGCTTCTCCGGAAACCGTACTGATTTTTGGCAAGCATGGGTTCCACTGCAGCTTCTATCCTCTGGTGAATGATACGCTCGAGAATCTTACCCGCAGTATCGAGCATACAGAGAGGACGGTAGGATGAAGGTTCGTCCGGTGGTTTATTCCCCTTTGGGAGCAGTATCAACCTCTGCTGCTTCCAGGCGGCCGGGAAGATGCCTTCTCTGAGGCACTCGTTGTAAACATCCAGGAACTGCTCTGGTATCGTGTGGATGGCCAGTTTCAACGCGACGTTTGGAATTCCATCCAGCCCTGGAGCTTTGGAGTTTCCCACTCTTTTGCAGGCCTCCATCAGCTCTTCTCTGGTGATCTTCGGAACAATTTCTGTTTCCCATTGCTCAGTATTGCTGTGAAATTCCGGTTGACTCGGAAACAGCGTCTCCACAATTCTGTTCAGGAGCACCGGGCACGATGGTGATGGCATTGATTGACTTTTGAGTCCTGTCATCACCACCTTGTAGGGCCTCCCCCACGGATCGTTCTCTACCTCGCTAAGGAGCTCGCTCCAGCATTGTCTCTTGCTGTACTTGATGGCTTTGCTGAGCTTCCGCCGTGCCTTCTTGTACTTCATCTCTAACTCCTGGAAGTTAGGACTTTTCCTACCACGCTGAGCTGACCTCCTTGCTGCATTACACTCCTTCCGCAACACAGCGATGGTCTCATTCCACCAGTACACCGGTGGATGTCGATTCGTGGTTCGTTTCCTCGTCATAGTGGCATCGCAGGGTTTAGTCACCTTCCTCATAATGTCCTGTGCCTTCGCAGTCGCATTTGCACCAGCAATGGGATGGTCATCTAATGCCACCGAAAATGAGCCCGGATCAAATGTGCTCACTCGCCAGCCAACGCTGTTTGTGTGTGTGTGTGTGTGTGGGAGAGAGAGAGAGAGAGAGGGGGGGGGAGAGAGAGAGAGAGAGACTTACCATGTAAGCCCCGTACTCTGCATATGACAACCAGCGCTCCGCCCTGGCATGAAGGGCTCTGATGGCGAAGATATCTTCGCCATCAAGAATCTCGCCCTCCTCGTCCTCCCAACGCAGCCACTCATTGGCTGCCCTGAAGTACGCTGTCTCCCTTCTCATCTCCTGCATCTGAAAAAAAAGATTTTAATAATAATGAAAATTATTTTATTAAAAAAACGCGAGTGATAATTTTTTTTGAATGGACAAACGCGAGCAAGAAGTTTTTTTTTAACGAAAGAAAAATTTAGCACGAAAGAAGTTTTTACGACAGAGAACGCGAGCAAAAAATTTCTTTTGGACCTAAAATTTTGACGAAAACCGAAAAAAACAGACGAAAAGCGAAAACAAAACGAACGAAAACCGAACAAAAAATACATGGGTTTTCCGTAAGAGGGGTTTCAAAAACGAACAGAAAACGACGAAAACCGAACAAAAATGAACAAAAATTGAACGAAAGATAAGAAACGCGGAAAAACCAACACCGAGAGAGTGAAACTTCCCCTGACTTCCAGGAGCAGGAAAACGGCAAGGCGTAGGAGAGGGAATATTGAAGGTTACGTTAAATGAAACCTGAAACGCGTTTTTTAATGCTGAAATGTATTTACCGTTTATTAAAGCGCAGGGAGTAGTGAACGCGACTTGGGGCCTCATGAAGAGGACAGGTATCAGCTCTTTGAAACGACGGCTCTACCTGTAGAACACACTTGCTAAATCTGGGTGTATTTACGGAATTGAGATCTGGGGCTGGGGCAATTACGAAATCCTAGAAAAAGTACAGAGGAGACTGGTGAAGATGAGCATGGGCTTGAGTTCAAATACACCTAACTACCTTGTAAGGCTCGAATCGAGACGGCCGAGTCTTGGAATTAACGCAGTGAGTAGAGCAGCCAGGTACGTTACAGAGATTCTAAGGATGGATGAAGTACGGTGGCCTAGAATCTGCCTCCTAGAAGAGCTTAGAACCTGCTCAAATGGTCAGCCATCAAAATGGGGCAAGGAACTGTCAAAGACCCTGAAAGAAGTTGGCAGCGAAAACTCCCTAGAGCAGTTCTGGCTTGACACGGAGCACGCTGAAGGGCTAGAGGAGCTGAGTAAAGTAGCGGACAAGCTGAGAGACGACGAGAGGGCACGTGACAGAGAGCAAGCTAGTCTCTCTTCGTACTGTGACGACTACTCGACCTGGGAGAGAGGACTCATTATGACTGTGCCAGCGGGGAATGGAGAGACAAGGGAAGTAGAGTATTTTTACTGGGAGGATAAGGAGGTACCTGGGTAATTCAAAGAGCAATGGGCGAGACTTAGATGCGGGAATGTGACAAGGAAAGGAAAGAAAGGCTTCAGCAATCATCTATGCAGAATATGCGGGGAAGAGCCTGAGTCACTTTCACACATCTGGTGTTGTCGAGAGGCCCAGCGACGTATGGAGGAGAAATGGGTAACCCCAGTGGAGCTACGGAGAAAGGGCGAATCAGACCTGGCAATGAGGGTTAAGCTCAAGGAAACACTAATAGGTAAACTGGAAAAAGCCCTTTGTGACTACGCTTGGCAATTCGAGAAGCTTGTCAAGGAGATGGAGAACACCCGATTGGACGGCAGTGCCAGGCAGGTTGACGTGCTAAGGGGCTCACGCCCTGGTTAAAAAATCTCCTAGGGGGCTCTAAATCGTACTTTTTATAGTAAAGCAAAGCTCAAGAACATTATTATGTCTTTTTTCTCAGAGGATATTATGGGTGTTATTAGTGAGGGAAAGATTATTATGTTTGTTTCAAGGAATGAATTATTACTTTTATTATTTTTGTTGTTCTGTAAACACAATGTATGATCCAAAAAGTCGAATAGGCTATATGTGGCATACAATAAATAAATAAATAAATATTTACCGTTTATTCGATGTTTCAAAAAATGTTACAGAATGATGCATAATTATCAAAAATATGAATAAATTTTCAGTCAAAGAACGTACTCGGGGACAACAGATCAAAATCGAGAGACTGACGGGCCAATCGGTCCTGATTGTCGATCTGCTCCAATTCCTTATCAATCTCGTCAAGCTCCTGCTGACGCTGTGTTGACATATCTTGAATGCGGTGTACTTCTTCTTCTTGCATGCGTTCATTTTCTTCCTTGCGCTCCCGATTTTCCAGAGCTGCAGCAATCTCTGCTAATTCGGCCTCAATTTCCTCAATGCTCTTTCGAGGCTCTTGGCACTCTAGAACAAGAAAAAAATCAAATGCAATTAATATACACAAAACTCCGAACAAATTAATGTGAATATATGTCAAATATTTACCTTCAGGGCTTGGAGATATCTCATTTGATGGTCTAGGCTGGGCAGCATCCCCTTGATGATGGAGCACAAAATCGATTATTGATGGAGTCTTCGGAGTCATTCGGATTGCTTCAATAGGGTCCAAAGTTTCCCAAATGCGATTAGCAGTTTCTGGACTTGCTGGGATGATCTCCATTGGCTGTATCATTTCTGGAGTCTGAGAAATAAGATCAATGGTCTCCGGGGTCTCTGGGATGATTTCCATAGATGATTGTGATTCTGACACGATCTCAGGGCTCTCGGGGATGATTTCCAGCGATGATTGTGACTCTGATACGATCTCAGGGCTCTCGGGGATGATTTCCATCGATGATTGTGACTCTGACACGACCTCAGGGCTCTCGGGGGTGATTTCTGTCGATGTACGGTCCTCAGAGCGATTTTTTTCAAACTCACGAGCCCTGAATTGCCTCTGTTTTTCCTTGGCCAATTGCCTCCTTCTTTCCCGAGCGTTGAATTCAACCTTCTTCTTTTCAGCGATTTTTAAGCGGTTTTCACGAGCCCTGAATTGCCTCTGTTTTTCCTTGGCCAATTGCCTCCGTCTTTCTCGAGCGTTGAATTCGGCCTTTTTCTTTTCAGCGATTTTTAAGCGATTATCATGAGCACGTACTTCTTGCTTCTTTTCATCAGTATCCTTTATTTTTTCCTTCTGCTGTTGCTGATTTTCCACCACATTTTTATTTTCAAGGGGCACATTTTCATCACACACTTGATTGAAAATATCAAGATCGTCTTCCAGCATATTCATCCACAAGTTTTTATCTTCCGTGCTCACTTGAATAATTTCACTTTTTTTATTCGCATCCACAATTTTGGAATCACTTTGAGGGCTATGGGGTGATTTATTGCTCAACCGTCCTCCCGAGTTTTTCTTCTTTTCAGTCACTTGGGTGCCAGGGCCAATGTTTATGGCAGGTCCGGGGTTGGAGGCTTCACGTTGCTGGAGTTTCACTTTTTCTAGCATTTTTTCAATCTTTTTTTTTTCTTCACTATTATTTTCCACTATCCGATCACTCACTATTTTTATTCCGTTTTGATTTTTCATGTTCACAGAATATCGAG